CGCAATAGAAAAATAAAAATTAAAGAGAATAAATAGTAGAACAATGCTCACAGAAATTGCTTAGGAAAAAGGAGAGGTTTAATTGAACAAGCTGTTTTTAAGTTATAAAAATATCACTGGCGTAAGAGCAAATTAATGGATATAAATAAGACCACAGAATATCATCTCTTATTGTTAAACTCAGTTTAATTTTAAAAATTTTGAAATGTTTATAGTTAATTACTTTTTTTAATTAAGAACCAATAAAGTACAAATATTCAATGTTTCTACTATTTCTCTTAAAATATCTTCTTGTATTTAAAGTTATACAATTTTCAAACAATATTATTCATGTATATAATTTTAATAAGTCCAAACACAGAAAAAGTCCTAAACAATGAACAATGAAATAAATTTTCCCAATGCTAATACACAGGAAGGAATAAGACAATTCATCTTTTCGTAAGACTAAATAAGACCTACTTACTATACATTTTTTCCCTTTTTCTTTTCTTATGTAGGTATTTTTTTGAGACAGGGTTTCTGTATAATCCTGACAGGCTTCAAACTCAAGATCCTCCCACCTTGAGATCCTCCAGAGTCCTGAGACTACAGGTGTAGGATACTATGCCCAGCTTCATACAGAGATTTTTTTTTTCACAATTTCAAACTTTCTAAACAAGGCTAAGTGTGAAAATCAGGAAAAATGAAAAACTGCGGCAATCAAAATAGTCAATAAAAAAAGCTTTGCAAACTACTTTAAAAAAGAAATATATTTGAATTCTTTGTGAAACAAAACCATATATAACTATAGGGTAATTATCTGTATAATTAGTTTGGGATAGTTACTGATACAAATCTGTTAGAAATGCTTTGACTGTTTCTTGAGAAAACAAGTATTATCATAATTTCCATTTATAAAGTAACTTTATAAGTATGCTTAAATACTTATAAGCATTATCTAATTTAAATATCAATGCCACCTATAACAGGTTAACAATGGTTAGTAAGGCTGGGATTACACAAACAGTAAAAAGATTAGGCAAAGGTCAGAATCTAAAGTCTAAGCATTTAACTACTACCTATACATGGATGTGGTAGTTCTATGCATTATGCATGCTATGCATTATGATTATGAAGTGATTACAAGCAAAAAAGAAATGCTTGAAACCCCAAATCCCTTATTATTTTTTGCTGATGTATATCCAGTGTCTAATACATACATTGTCTAATTTATAACAGTCTTCAATAAATATTTATTGTTTGACTGGTAAAGAAGTTCACATTGCTCCTATCAATGATGATGATGATAGCCATGAGGAAAATGAAAACAATAGTGAAGTATGAAAAGGAGGAGAAGGTGAAAGGGTCAACTTTCTGAGATTTTATTATGACAGAGGACACAACTAAATTTTAAATACTCACAAATTCACATAAAATGAAAATATTCTCATTATTTAAAAACCAACAGGAAAAAATAGCAAAGAAACTTGAGACTAAATAACACTCCACAGGAAGATTTACCACACATATACAAGTCCAAATCTTCCCTCTTCCATTTCTTTTATTTTGGAATCACATTTTAGTAAGATGTGCTACTGCTATCAAATATGTATTTCCAGTTTTTCATTTATTTCCCCTTGAAAATTGTTAACACTAAGCAATCAATTTTTAATTAAAAATTCTGTTTAGAATAAAATGTCTTTTCATTACTCTGGCTATAGTGACATTATCCAAAATTTAAGAATTTTATGAAGTTAAAGTAATAATTTATAATATTGAAGCTACAACACATCAGGTTACACAGCAGATGCTTTTATACATTATTTCTAACGGCCCCGAAAAAAATCTGGTAGATTAGTTAATATTCACATTTTACATGGGAAAAAGTAAATCCAGAGAGGCTACATAACTTGCCCAAAGATATTTAATGTGTATTAGTGTTTAAAACTGTGATTTGAACCTAGGTTAATCTGACTCCCAGTCTCTCAGTCTTCCCAACTGCTTAAACTCCCCACAGAGAATGGGGCATATTTTGTTTTACGTGGATTTAATTGTACCAGATTCTTATTATTAAAAATTATACAACCAGCTGAGGAGACTAAATTTTATGAAGACATAAAAATAAATACTGGGTATCTGAATGACTAGAAAATTAGCAGGGATAAAATGGTAAGATTGGATCATAGTCATCATATGGTTTTCATAAAACTTTGGTTTATAGTCTTTATGTCTCGAATCTATCGCAGGAATTATCTTAAGATTAGAGTGCAAGTCATTCTTTTTTACAAATCATATCCTTTAAAAATAATGATTCCTTTGCTAAAAGTAAAGTGAATTTACTACATGTTCACTGTAGAAAATCTGAAAAAGGCAGAAACTGTTCACTGAAACACTGATAGCTCCATTTAAAGACTTCCATAACTGGCCTCTCATTTTAATTAAAATATATGTATTAAACAAAATGATATCATAAGTACAGTTTTATTACTGCTTTTCTCAATTGGGTTATAAAGGGTTTTGCAAAAAGCTTTTTCACAAAGTTTTTAATTATTACACAGTGGTATAGCATAAATGCATCATAATTTATTTAATAATTCCCATTTTAAGCTATTTTTAATGCGCTTGCTATCATAACTAATACTATATGCAAATCTTTATATTTTACTCTAGGGAAATGTCTACATGAGAAAATATTCCTCATATTTTAACATTTCATTTTGAAAATCTACAACATACTTTTTTGGTACTACTTGATATTTTCAACAATGAGTTCAGATGTTTTTATAAGTATTTCTTTTATCATAGAATAATTTGATTTTTAAAACATTAACATGTTGCTTATATACATTACATTTATATACATGTACATACTCATAACATGATTTACTAAATACACTTATTTTGTTTATAAAGATAAGAAGTGATAGAAACAAACCATACATTATTTGTTCTTTCATGTCACAAGGAATGAGGAATTTATGACATGTAGTCATAGTCCTATACTACCCCTCTTTCTATTAAGATACTAACATGATTGATTTTGTTGTTGTTGTTGTTTTGCTTTTTGACTGCACTTGATAATGACCATATAGAAAATAAGCTTATTGAAGACTGTGCATAAAATGAGAAATTATACAAAGTTCAAGAGTCCACCAAGGGACTAAGGTTTTTATACTTTCAAACCCATGGATCCTTAAGAGATTCATAATTTTTACAATTTTGACACTATAATAATAATCTTTAATGTTACAAGTAAAATATCTAAAGTCCTTATAAAATAAGATAGAAGTAAAATATTTAAAACTAAAGATATATTTTGAAAATTAATACTTTGAAAAATCTTCGGAAGACTTTCATGTTATGTCACTTTTTTGACTAGATATTTGGGTATAATCTCTTAATTAAATTGCTTTGTTTCAAGGGAACTATATAGCACAGTTATTTTCATCTATTTAGGTAACTATTAAATATAATAAATATCTTTAAACATTTAACATTTAGTAAAGTAATTTTGTTACTATTGAGAAATACATAATAGTATGATAATCAAATTGTTTCCATTCAATACACACATGATTAGAATTCTTTAACCAAACAGAATCCTTAAGTAGATACCAATAAGTAAATACTTGAGATATGTTAATTGTATTATATAATAATACACTTAATGAGTCCCTCAAGAGATAAACAGGCTATGCAGATACATGAAATCATGATTCTCTGTAAGTTGTAATGGACCAAACTTAGTCAATTACTTCTGTAAGACATATGGAAAGTTAAATTATTATGCATACACCTCAAAACAAATGTACTTCTTATAATACTGTCCTAGAAATTAATATATATTTGATTTTTTAAAAAGTCGGAAAAAAATCTAAATTGTTCCAAACTTTTTATTTGCATTATTTATTTTTAACATATTATTAATTTTTCTTAAAATACATTACTCTCATATCTCCCTACTGAAAAAGGGACAAAAACTTCATGGTAGTTTTTCATTAACAGGAAAGCAACCATTGATATTCAGCTGGAGTATTTATTTATGGCCATCTTTCATAGTGATGTTTACTTCTACTTTCCACAGTAACATTTTGAAGACAGGCAATTCTAGTTAATTATAACTCTGACCTAAAATGCCCCTTTTTATATATGTAACCAGGTTAGGTGGCCCATAAAGCAGAATTATAACCTCAAATTAATAATAAATTATTTTAAAAATCATTCTGGTTTATATAAAAAAGCTAAGGAAGTAATCTCTAAATGCTTCTGAATGCTAATGTTTATTATTTGTGAAATTTCTCTTTCCTTAGCACAGGAAAACAATGTGAGGAACAGAGCTACAGTGGCATATATAGATGGAGATTACAGAACTGAGTATCGTGTAATCAGATCTATAACATCATAAACATGTTAGAAATTTTTCTCTTTTCAAAGACCTGACAGTAAAGATAGATCCTAAATTACATTTAAGGCAGTCATTTATAACATTACACTATGGCAACCTTTACCTTTAATCTCAGGGAAAACATTATCTCTGCCATCATCTACATCATCAGATATTAACTTATTAGTTGCATTAAACAGATTTTTGAATCAGATGTAGGTTTCCATTGGCAATGAATATATGACTATCTTCATCAAAGCAGAAGTATTTCCTTTCCACAAGCTAAAACAATAAGTGGTATTTGAACTGCTGGTTGAAAGGTAGAGGCACTGGTAATCATTATTTCCCCTTGTTTGTTCAGGCCCTTCCAACAAAACAAACAACCTTTTTGTGATTGGATTGACATGGTGTTAACAATGCATTTAATGCCCAAATCAGTATGAATACAGGTAAAGCTCTCACTAATACCAGTACCAGGATGTTAAAGCCACCTATTTTCTAGCAGCCAAAAAAAAAGAGGAAAACCTCTCCTCCTTTGGCAAATAAGGCAGTATGCTAGGATTCACCAAGACACATCATCTAATAATCTTCTTTTTGATTCTTCAGGCTGCATGCTAACACTCATCTACTATACCTGCTGTCTTTTCAGCAATTTTAGCTTCTGTTGCTTTTTCTTGAAGTTCCAGCACAAGCTTTAATTTTCTATGTTCTTTATCTTCTTTAGTCAGTTTTTCTTGAAGCTAAAACACATGGGAAAAAATGTATCCTTGCATGATAAATGTCTTCTACAGATATAATTAATTACAAAGTAAAATTTTGTTTATATAATATTACAGCTATCTGCCTAATGACATTAACTCCAGGGGAAAAAATTAAGGTTGTAAGATATTTTATAAGATTATGATTACCTAAAATGATATGGAAATTATAAAATATTCTAATACACACTTCACTTATGTGCATGCATGTAGACAAATAAAGAGAAAAAACATTATTATTAAGAATAACTACTACAAAATAATGTTATCCATTCCATCGTCTTAAGGCAAAAGATTTAGAAGAGCTCTACTACTGGAAATATAATGGACAGCACAGTTTTAGTTTGTCTTAGTAATTTCAACATTTTGAAGCAAAATTAAGATAATAATCTTAATATCTGGTATAAATCCCCCTTTGTGAAAGCTGTCTCATCATATCCCATTTGAATTGGCATTGCCAACTGACTTATAATTGGCATATAATAACTATTAAATCAAAGTACAGAAAATATTGCATGCTCATACAGAATCCTTCAAAATATTATTTTTTTAAATTCTTCCCTAGGCTTCTAGGCTTTTGTCATTTATGTTGTTTTCCTTAAGACATAATCAACATTCTTAACATCAGGCTTTAGTTTCATTAGGTCAAACAATGAGAATATTAAAATCAGAAAAGTATGTAAAGTTTAAAATAAAGAAGTTATAGAAAATGATCATTATTTAATAATGCTCAGAGGAATGTAACTATTGAATAAGAGTCAGAAAAGATAAAACATGATTTGAAAAATTTGAGTGGATAAAACACAACAGTGTAAGGTAACACAAGTTAAATGACAATTATCACTTGCTACTTTAATGTTTAATTACATATATTATGGAAGTAAAATATAAGGCAAAGATGTAATTTTTTAAAAAAAGATTAAGAAAGCAACATGAAACCAGTGCACACAATTTCTCATACTCTGCAATGCTGAAGTCAAGTTATATTACAGTAAAATCTGAATGAGTAATTTTTTGTTAGGGGGTTCCTACATAAGGTACCCAAGGTTTATGCAAAAGAAAGTGGTATTGCAGATCAACAGAGGGAGGAAACTAAAAAATCATCTCATCCATCACCTAATTATACTCTGATGGTAAGGTAATGCAGAAACACAAAGCTACTGTTGAGAGGTGACAGTCTGCAATACAATCGACTAGTGAAGGGCAACAAGAAAATTTTGCAAGCCAACAGCTAAAAGTGTAATATGCAGTGATTAGACTTTCTAGATTATACCTTTTTATTGCTTGTTTTGAGAATATTCAATTCTTTTACAAGAAATGCTATTGTTGTCTCTTCAGAATCTGAAGTGACTTGATGAGGAATCATATATTCATAATTCAAATCGTTCTTTCTACATTCCATAATGCTGTAATAAAGAAAATTATTAAGTAGTGTATATATATATAGATAGTCAAATATATGTAGTAAAATATATATGACTTTATACAGGAACTAAATTTATACTTCAAATAAAAGAGACAAATTTAATCTTAATAACAAATATGTACCTGATTTAAAATTTCTATGTTATACACAATTGAGAAACTACTATGGATAAAAGAAGAAACATACAGAGTTCACAGAGATGTGAAACTATCAACTGAGAAAATTAAATTTATGGAAAACATTTAGTAACATCTAAGAGACTCATGGTTCGGTATACTTGATAAAAGAATTCAGATTTTAGAACTACAAATATTAATTCAATTTGTATTTCTGGTTAAGATTCTATTATACTTCTTGCTTTTGTGAAAATTAGAACAATAATCATATAATTTTTCAATTTGATTGAAAAGTATATTTTCAATATCAGATTCAAAACATTAGAGTAACAGCCCATTCCCATAATATTTAAGCTTAAGCATAATGAAATTATTTTGAATTTGCTATGCAATTTGAGAATAGTATCAATTTGTTAAGCAAGTAGTATAAAAGAAGGGACGAAGAGATGGGTTGTTTTTTGAAGGTGTTCATTCACGTATATGCGTAGGTACATCCAGGCATCACTAACAGCTTCAGCAGTGAGTGGTGGGGCAGAGTACATTTGCTACTTAGCAGGAATCCCCTGCTGCAACTTTGCTACAGATCTTATCATCTAGCTTTAGTCCAAGCTTTACCACTAATTTTCCCCATTTAGTCATAAAAGTGTTTATCACTTCCTCATTCATCCTTGCCTCAGCCTCTTAAAAGATATCCCAAATCAAACCTTGGTAAGACTCTGATGCTGAAGGGAAAGAAATGACCAGTATAGTATCTACTTCACTATGTGTTAATATTCATTAATATAACTCTGAATAATTTGCAAGTAAATAGAAACAGCAATTTCTTTTTTTCTTTTTAGTTATTTTTCAGGTAGGCTCTTGCATTTTTGCCCATGACAGCCTGGACCACAATCCTCCTAACTATGCCTCCCATCTAACTGAGATTATAGGCTTGTACCACTGTGCCCAACTTACTTATTGAGACGGAGGTCTTACTGATGTTTTGCCTGGGCTAGTCTCAAACCACAATCCTCCCAATTTCTGCCTCTACAACCAGAAGAAATAGCATTTTTCCTTTGGTGTACTGGGGTTTAAACTCAGGGCCTTGTACTTGCTAAGCATGCACTCTAATTCTTGAGTCATGCACCCAGTTAAGAAATAGCAATTTCTATGAAAAACTGTTAAAATAGCATTTTAGAAAATATAATTTTTGTCTATTCTGAAAATATGATAGTCATTACATTTTTAATCTAACAATATCTTCATAGCACATGACTAATTATTAAATACCTTAATGTCACAGGTAACAGCCACAGGTATCACAAATTCAAACCTCTGCCTGAGATAGTAAGTGAGATGGTAAATGCTGCAGAATATAAAACAGTAAGGAAAGCAAAAAGAAAAGTACAGGGCAACTCCAAAACTATTCAAATTCACTTAAATGAAGTGCTTGCAATAACCAAAACATATTTTTATGCTTAATATGTTCTAGAGATACCAGGTTTTGTCTTTGAGGAATAATATCTCATTTATATCAATTTAAAAGTTATTTTCATATCCATAACGAAAAGTCACAGAAAATAACACTGAACAAGGAATAAAACCTCACTGCCTTCCTATAAAACTCACCTTGTGTTTTTTCTCTTGGCTATCCAGATATATTTTTATCAATATTGTGAAAACAACAGAAAACCCTTACAGATTCCCCAAATTCTCATGCTACTGACATGTCAAATTTATCCCACACAAAAAGAAGGAAAGAGAGGAAGGGGAAGAGGAAGAGGAGAAGGGAGAGAACAAAGTCCTTTCAGCTCTTACTTTCTGGACATAAGGCTGACAGAGCACTCACCTGCATTTTTCAGATGTCTCATTATCTGGGTAAGGACTGATGACTGATGACTGATGAAAATTCCTTGATCTCTGCCCTAGCACTTCAGTGTCCTTAAATGTGACCGTATGTTCTAATTCATTGGATTTCTGATGCATACTTCCCTCTGAATTCATAGTCAGTTGCTCATCTGACTGTGTATTTTTATTTCTTCCTGTGGTCTCTTGTTCAAGGTAAATGTCAGCTATATCTGTAATTAAACAAACAACACATGATATACAAAATGACAAAGCTACATATTAAGTCATTGAACCGAATGAATATTTTTATGGAATACAAATACCCTCATGGCTTTAAATGCACATTAGTGTAATTCTGCCTGTAATTGATTTAAGCACATAAGGTATAATGTTTGCCATCCATATTTCCACTTGCAAGATCAGAAGACATTTAAAGGTAATGGTTCACAACTTTGGCTCATGTTGGAATAACCCGAACTTTTAAATATCTGAACTCTAAATCACATTCTGTACTAACTGGATTAAAACCCCAGGGAGTAGGACCTAATTCCTATTTTTTAAGCTCCCAAGATACACTCAATGTTGAGACCACTGGTTTAAATGTATTATTTTCTAGATATCTCAAAACAAGATACAGTAGTTAATGATTACAGTGAACTGATTATGTGCACAAAACACTGGTATCTGACTGCCTGGGTTAAAATCAAAGCTTTATTTTAAGTTCAACAGTTATTTAATCCATTTATGCCTCAGTTTCCTATTTGTAAAATGAAAATATAATAGCACTTATTTGAATTGTTGTGATATCTGAGTACTAAAGTACGTGGCCTAATGTTTGACAGAACAACAAACATTAGTTGTTATTTTGGAATCATAATATTAAAATTGATATGAGTATATATTAGGAAATATATTTATATGCCTCGTTATCTCACAAAAAATATTTTAAGCTGAAACTAGTAATACTTCAAAGAAATAATGTATATTTAATGGAATAGTATAGTTTTGGGGAAGAATCACACACACATACATTACTCGTGGAAGACAAATTCTGTCAGTAATAAATCAGGTCAACAGACACAAATATTGACACTTGCACTTGATTAATTCCAGCAGAAATACTTCTTTAGCTTTAAGAAGCAGATAAACGTCATCTGAATTTTAGTGATTCCGTCTCTAATCTGTCAAATTTAAAATCATTTTGAGGCATAAGAGAATAATGTTAGAATAAAAAGAAAATAAGGATGCTTATAAACTTTTGCAAAGTATTCATTTAAAGTCTTTGCTTGTATTAAATACAGCTAGTTGTAAACTTCAAGTATCGACATTATTCTTATTAGTAACTGAAAGTTATGCCATAAATCATTTGGTTTTGGGAAAATTATCTTGATTTCACTTTATTTAAAGGAATTAGAAGAGAAAAATGTGTTATCATTGCTACATACTTTGAGATAGCTATAACATTTCAACATTATATTCTGTTGAAACTTGAACAATTTTAGGAATCTGGTATCTGAACATAACTTTTTGATTTATGATATCTTGAAACTCTTGGTTTGCTTTAGATAGATGTTCATTCACCATCCTTCTTTTCTGAATAAGCTGTTATTAGACTGGAATTCTCAAAACAATCTGAATGGGGAAATTTTATAAATGAACACTAAGGAAACCCTTTTATATCACTAGCAAACCATGATTTCTAATACTAACATATATCTTTTAAGAAATTAAAATAAAAAGAATTATAAATAGACATTGAAAGCATTATCAAAATAAAAACTGCCTCCAGGGACATATCATAAAAAACCATTAGGGCCTACACTAGTCTCCAGTTTATGAGGTAAAAAGACTCTTTAAAGGGAAACAGAATGAACCATAAGCACTATCAGCTATAAAAGTCCATAGATCTCCATGACAACACCACACCAACTGCTTAAGTTCTGACTCTTTGACCTATTTGAGATCAAATTTACCACTATCTACAGCTTGTCCCATTTTTTTTTACCTCTATATTTTTAGGTCTAGTTCAGTATCTTTCTCCTTTCAGCATTTTATTCCTAACCTTCTGATGTTTACTAAATCCCTGATATCTATACTTGTTATCTGCCTACCAGTGTCATAGCTCTCTTTCTTCAGGTTTAACCTAATGTCAAATTTTGTGACAGCTGAACACTTGGTAAGTCATGGGTATTTCTTTTCAACTGTCTTCACCAAACACTTGAACAGATGTGAAAGGTTCCCAATAACAGGACTATTTATTGTTTCCTACTGAATCCTAGAAATTATAACTCTTTGAAGTATTATTAAAATAAACTCATCAGTTTCTGACATATTGCTGGATTATGATTCTAAAATGTTTTCAAACGTTAAAATTTTAAATGCTTAACATTTTAAAGGAACCCATATTGTGTGATTTGGCTCTATATTTAGATATTTCTAATTTTGTTCAATAGTAAAAGTTTTTAGATTCCTTTTGGGTAGGGCACTACTGGGGTTTGAACTCAGGGCCTTGGGCTTGCTAGGCAGGTGCTCTGCCACTTGTGCCATTCCTAATTCAAACTATTCATCACATTTGGAGTTGCTTCTGCAAATGAGACTATTCATAATTTTCCACCAAGAATTTAATTTTACCTTAGAGTAAACAAAACTGATTTATAAAATATTTCTGTCTGCCTGTATTTTTTTAACCAACTACTATGGCAAATATGATTTCGTCAAATTATTTTTCAATCCTGGAAAGACATTCAATGTTCTTCCAATTTTCCATACCACATTATCCTTTATCAGTATTCAGTCATTTGTATGGAAAGTTTGAGCTTTATAATTAATACTGATCACTCATGGAAACCCTACAGAATGATATGCTCTATGATAGGGTACTAGGCCAACAATGTGAGTAAGAAACAGAGGCTTCCATCAAGGACGCTATAGTATAATGACTGTGGCAAACTGATGTAATGATCTGAATGCAATGTATCAAGGACTAGGCAGTGGCTATAGAACACATAATGTCTGTGCTTAACTGAAAACTGCAGGAAGGCTTTACAAAAGTACTTGCTCCAAGAAGAACAAGTAGAGATATAAAAAGTAATGAACTGCTAATAGGCTAAGTTAGGTGGATTAAAGAAAAAGCTGGCAGACTATAAGAATAAGAACAGAGTAAGAATATAAATGAGTATAAGGGGAAGGAATAGATTTAGGAAATAGAAAGAAATGTTTCTTTACTGAAATGATAAAAAGTAATAGTGAAAATTTCTAAAATGAGTAAGGACAAACTTCAAGATGTGGTGCATCTGGAAATGAGCTGACAAAAATGACTGATGGTGAAGGTATTTGGAGAAAAGGAAATCAAGGGGTCACTTTTGAAGTCACCAAGCTCATCCAGAAAAATTACAAAAAATGGAGATGAGAAACGGGAGCCAAACACAAAGGTCTTTAATGACTACTGAAGCATGCTAAAGAAGACAGAGACAGATGAAAAAAACAAAAACTTAGAGTAAGACTTTCTTTCTTTTTACTTTTAAAATAATGTATTTTATTTAAAAAAAGTTACAGAAGACAGTACAAAGGATTCCTACATACCCTTCATTCAGATTTCTCCAAAGATTAACATTTTACCACACAAGCTTTATTATACCTACCTATCTACATACACACACACATTTCTTTCCCTAAAACATTTGAGAGTAAGTTGCAGCATAATGAGCTTTGATTTTTTAAGATATATTTTAAGATACTTCTCTAGCATCTTGCATCTTAACCAATTTTTCTTTATCTTATTCAAAGCCAAACTTAAATATAATATTTGAATTAGTACCTTTTTCAACTAAGAGTATAACAGCAACTACCATTGTCTTTATTTTATGTAACTCTCCAGACCAGAAGATAGATCTTGATGAAGTCACACTGTGATGACACTAATAAAAACTTTTGCTGAGCTTGTTTGTATTGCCTCATCAATTTGTAAAGAACTGCATACAGAAATATGAACACATAAGCCAATAAAAATGCCACAAAAAGTGAAATTATGGGACTATTTTGAACTCTAGTCAATTGAAAACAAGTATGTTAAATAAAAAGACATGTCCACTTCTGATCCAAATTCTTTTCTCTTCAGATAAAAACTTAAAACTAAAACCATTCTATTGATTCCTCTCTCTGTCTTATATGTTTTAAAATACAAACTTTCTTTAGCAATCCGTCTTGGTGTTCAATCAATGTCACTGTTAACTGCTCTTTCATTACTAACTGAACTAATATTATTTAAATTTATTTCTCCATATGGGTTTATAGAATATATTAATCTTTTTCATAATTCATATGTCTATGAAGTCTTTTTTCAGATTTAAACATCAGGAAAAAAATCTATGACTATTATCAAATTTGCTCTCGTGAGCACACTTTTATTTGTGTGTACTCTAAGAATCTGACCACGTTGAATGTAATATATTTTCCAAATTTTCCTTTTACTATCTAACGTTATCACTGCCATGTAAATTTACCCTGCAACTATTTGAAAATGATGACCTGGGTGGCTATTAAATAGTATTCCTCTAAAATGCCATCTACAGCTCTGCCTCGAGATAGTTCAAGCATCTGAGAAAACTGATGAAGTGTTTTTGGAATGTGAACATATGTTGTGGACTAGATGCATTATATGCTTTGAAGATGCTCTATCTCCATAGTGACTTTCATACTGTTTTCAATGGACCATTTTCATCATCTAAAGAATTCTTGTTTTACTTCTAGAGATGTCAGTATTGCTAAGTCTCAGTGCTAGTGTTTATAAACCCTGAATTGCTTAGTCTAGAAAAATAACAGTACTATGCCATTTCCTATCCCAGAAAAGAAAGCTTAGAGATCCCCTTTGAGTACAATTCTCCAATTACATATGAATGTATAATATACTCAGTTAAATTGATGCTACCCAAGAAATCATGACTCACAGCTAAAAATCACTTATTTCATGACTACTTTACAAAAGTGAGGAGGTGGCTAAATCAAATAGGAATTCTTAGAGGCTGGGAAATTCTGTTCTGCCTGACTTTGTAAATAGTTTGTGACAACTGGTATCTGTGTAAACGGATTTGATGGTCCCCTGGGGGAGGGGGTCAATACTGTTTACAGAGCTGTTTCTTCAGAGTGGTTGAGTTAGAATTGTCTCTAGGGATTCTACCAGGTTACTCAAAACAGCAACATCCGAGCTACCTGACAGCTCAGGGACATAAAA